ATATAATTTATATTGATTAGTTTATAATTGATTAGAGAATTGTTATATGATATTGAATTAAATTGAAACATTGATTTTAATATTTATGATCTAAATACTCACAAACTGTAATATAATTTATATTGATTAGTTTATAATTGATTAGAGAATTGTTATATGATTTTGAATTAAATTGAAACATTGATTTCAATAATTATGAATCAAAATACTCACTAACTGTAATATAAATATATTGATTAGTTTGGAAATATATGTAAATTATTGGCAATAAGTTATGGTTTTAAAATAAAATTTAAAATAACAGTATGCCTACTCTTCCAATTCTTCCATTATTTCAGTTTCTTTCATCTTTTCCATTTTCTCGTTTTTTTTTCAATTTTATTAAAATTTTAAAAAAAATATTGCTAAATAGATTTGGTTCAATTTTGAAGATCAAATATCTAGTTAATTAATTAATAAAGTAATAAAAAAAAAACTTAAAAAATTTATCAAATTAAGCATCATTCATTTTTTATATTTGTAATATATATTTTATATTATATTCTATTAAACATATATATCGAAATAAAAATTTATAATAGTTTATTTGATTTGAAATATTAAAAATAAAAAGTTATATCTACAAATATACTGTATCTAAATCAAAAACTATTAAGTATATTCGAAATAGAAATGGTATAAATAAGAATAAAAAATAGAAGAAAAATTCTTTTACCCATAGAACAGAGGTTACTTAAATAAAATTCGATTTTTTTACAAATTTGAATTCACTCAACATAGATAACGAAAGTCACTTTTCAGTCAAAGAATTATCTTATTTACTTTGCAATTTCATAATTATAAAAACTAAGACACATTATCAGATGATCTAATTTCAACTTTTACAGGATCAAGGAGTTTAAGATTGTTTATTGGTAAAACACATATGCAAGAATGCTTAATATAAATTTCTTATCTAATTATAATCATTAAACAGCACATGAATCAACAATGATGCAGTCCAGTCGCCTATTTAGTTTTTACTTAAATATTTAGCCCATATATTTTTTTTTCAAATTTACAAACCAAGTCAATTTAGTCATCTGTTAAGAATGTTGAGATATCATTGATAACTTGATCATTTGATAATTTGTTACTTGAAGTTTCATGATTGATAATACAAAAATAGATTGTAGATAATTCTTTAATTAAGAATCAGGCTGTGTTTGTAAAAAAACATTGAATGATTCTAGTTTTCTTAAGTGACCATTGTTCTTGAGGTAAAAGAATTTTTCTTCTTTTTTTTTTTTTATTCCTGCCTTTACTAAATTTAAATTTCAATTTATTCTATTTCGAAATTTGTATTTAATTTTAAATTAAATAATATTTTTTTTTTTATTTAAAAATCAAATTTACCTAATAGTTTTAAATTTATAATGATATCAAATTATAAATTTATATTTCAATATATATTTCTACCTGAACAAACGAATGAAATAATTGTTTTGAAATACAAAAGGCAGTGGTATAGGGCATAAATAATTTTCTTTCTTAAAAAATTTATAAAGTATTAATGAATCACTCATTTTTTTTTATAGATGCGTATATATATACAGTACATATACGTATATGTTCATTTATTTATATTCTACTAAAAATATTAAGCATATATAAAAAAAGATATAAAAAACAGCTATATAAGCCAGTCTTTATTTAATTAAATAATTTTATGGTAAATAAATTCATTTCAGGTATATATTTTAAGATTTCATACTGATCTGCTTTTTACTTTAAATAAAATGCTATTACTTTATGTAACTTATAATTCCAGTGATCAAATAAAAAAAAATAAACATATAAACATATAATAATATAAAATAATATAAATATAAAAATATTAATATCTGATTTTAAAGATCGTCATTAATATTAGATAAAATACTTAAAATATACATCAGGAAATTCTATTAGGCGAAAATTTGCAATAATTTTCCGCAAGTTTTTTGTGCTTTTTTTTTGTTTTTTACTTCGCTCGCGATTTGCGAGGCACAGAGAGATTTTATACTAAGAATTGCATTCTAGTATGTTAGTTTCATTTGAAGAATGCTATAGAATGGCATTCAAATAGTGTGTAGAACATTTTTATTTAATTTCTGATGTTTGTACACATTTTTGAATAATAATTAAAGAACTTAAATATAAATATAAAACTTCAGAAACAGTTTTTAAGCAAAATTATAATATTTTACTAATTCTAGTATATTCTCAAATTCCATAGGTATAATTAAATACAGGAACTTCAACCCCAGTAAAATTTGATCAATTTAAGTCTGATCAAAACTTTAACTGATAATTCTAAAAGCTTAAGTTCTGTATTATCAATTTCTATGGTTAAAATTTTATTTTTATACATAGTAAATAAAGTTTTAAAGCAAAAAGACTAAACGATTTTTATTACAACCAAGTTCCTGTAGTAATAGTTACTATACATACAGTATTTTAATTTTTGAGATGTTTTTTGTATCAGATTTATAATTCCAATTTTGTGTAAACGGGAGTTCAACATTGGGAATTGTTACTTAGTAAAATTTCAATTGTGAATAAAATTTCATGCAGAATGGTTACAGCCAAGATGATTATAGAGTTGATAGTCCTTCCCAAGGAGAATAGGCGTATCAAATTTCATAACAATTGGATCAGTGGTTTTTGAGAAATTAACTCTTGAAAATTGAAATTCTACTAATAAAATAATTTAAATTTTTTTTATTAGTAAAATTTCAATTTTCAAGAGTTAATTTCTTGGTAAACACTAATCAAATTGTTATGAAATTTGATATGCCTATTTTTCTCAGGAGGGGCTATCAACCCTATAATCATCTTGGCTGTAACCATTCTGTGTAAAATTTTATTCATAATTGAAATTTTATTTTGTGAGGCACTGTACAATCCTAACTTCCAAATTGAATCAAAAAGTATAATCCTAACTTCAAATCAAGTAACTATGATTTCAAATCAGTAATAATAACCCTGAATCAATTAAAAAAAAATTTTTTTTTTTCATATAAAATGTGTAATGTATTTCAAAAAACAATTTTTATTAAAATATAAAAGATAATTAAAACAGTATATTGTAAACCATTAATAAATACATTTACCATTAAATATTTAAAAACTAATATATAAATAATTATTACAGTACTAATAAAATATTGTAAATAATACAGAGAACAGTTTTTATTAATATACAAAATATCCTTAAATGACAGGATTTGAGAACATATAACATTTATAAAACATTTTACTGTCAAATATCTCAAAACTAGTGCAAAAAGAATTAATGCAATACTAATAAATATATGTAAAATAACATAAGAATAATTTTTATTAGTACACGAAATATCTTTAAAACATCAGTTTTTAAGATGGCGTAACATTTATAAATCTGATCAACCTGGTCAACCCTGAGTTTAAAAATTATTGACCCTAGCCCGATTCAATTCGTACCTCCGAATCGAGTTACACGGATCAACCCGGATCGACCGACCCGTTAGGAGCACTAGGTTCTACACTATACACTTTATCTGAAACCATATTAGTCCTCTCTTGAACTGTTGTATCACCTTATCTCTTAGTCTATATCTATAAAACAGCTAATTTATACTTTCACATTCAACTACAGACCTGTTAACCTGCTCACAATGAGGGAGGAAAGAAATAAATGAATTATAAGGCAAGAAACAAGGTAAAAATAAAATAAATAATAAAAAAAAAATAACTTACTGTTTATATAAATCCTTGAAGTCGATTTATACTTTCATATTTGCTTCTACAATCCTGAAAACCTGCTCACGAGAAGGGAAAGAGAAAAATAGGTAAATTATAAAGGTAAGAGGCAAGGTATGTATAAATTTTTATTAGAATAAATAATTCGTAACTATTCTTATAAGCCCATGAAGTCTAAAAAAAGATTATCAAATCTAAATATAAATAAATAAACACCAAAGTGCAAATAAATCAAATAAAAAATTCTAAATTAGGAAAAAGATTCAGATCTAGTGACCTGATCTCTAAGATAAGTTTTCTCTTATAGTATTTATACTAAAGTTTTAGAGATCAGGATCACTTGACTCACCACCAATATAATTGATTTTTGTCTCTTTCATTCTATTTATTTAATATTGAACAAGTGACACATAAAGAATAGGATATCTCCTGGACAGGTTAAGATTTCAACTACGGGTGTGCAATATTTAGTATGATCGTGTAAATTTGGCCTCTTCACAGAATATTTGGAGCATAGTCTGTTGAGCATTTCAGTTATAATATCCCACCTAGTTACATAAATTATAATTGCAATCACGAATAAAGAAAAATCAGAAGTATTGAATGACATTTTTTAATAATTTTCAAAAAAAGATTTATTTCTTGCTTCGAGCTATCACTCAATGAAATAGTATAATTCTACATTGATCAATATTGGTGAATAAATTTGGTTAGAAATCACCAAACTTCCATAATGAAATCAATATGAAATTGGCGTTTTTAATTTCAATTTATATTAACATTAATGGAAATAATTACAAGAAATGAATCAATTGCCTGAGTGTTTATATCATATACCAATAGCAATTGTACCCAAATATTTAGAATTGATTATTATGCGAGAATGTGCATCAATAAATGGCCGGGCCCCTCCAGATTTACATCTGTAATGTTTCAAAATACTCACAGACTTGGTTAAAACCTATTATGAAGCAGAAATTTAAATCAATATGATAATTCTAAACTATATTCTTTCATTTTAACAGTTTCTAAATGTTCGATATTTTTTAATACTTTGGAAGAATGAAATTTGCATTACTTTATTTAGATAGATTATACCTTGTTAAAATGAATTATAAGATTAATTTATTTTATTATGAATGGTGTCAAGATATATTCCATAAAATAGAATGTAACCTTATGAATTTATATGTGATTTTAAATGTTAAAACAATTATAGATTAATGTAGTAGTAAAATCCATACTGTATATCTATATCTAATATCTGATATGTAACTTTTTTGGATGAATTATGAATCTTAAAAAGAGCTAAATTTTCTATTAATAATTGATTCTATACATATATCAAATATAAATAAATACCTAACTTTATAGATTTCACCAATCCAAGACCCAGAAAATGCTATAAAATTGTATTATTCTTTGTTATTAAATTTCAACTCTATTTATCAATAATTGCATGTCTTCTTCATATATGGAATTAAAAAAATGTTAATATTACTTCTTATTATAAGAGATAAATACATGTATCTTTATATCATATTATAGATAAATATTACACTACTGTATTTCGTGTAATTATTTTTTCCAGTTACTGGAATATAAATATTTAAGTTGCATTAAAAAATTTCTAGTTAAAATTCTTAATCCAATACTACCCCATTTAAAAAAAAAAACAATACCACACTTTAACTAAATCATTGTTATTTTCTAAAATATCTTTAAAATTTATATTATTTTTTTTTTTTTAGTTTTTATATGTAATGCACATCCAAGGAAATGACAAGTTGATCTGTAATCAACTACTTGCTCTAACTTGTCAAGAAATTTGACACCCAAAGAAGCTGCAAGATTATAAATACCATAACTAGAAAATATAACTAATAAAACTTCACACATTTCTTTATTTGTATGCCACATTTCCAGAAGTGGTCTAATTTTAGAATTAATAATATAAATACACATAATCCGATGAAATATTGCTTCATCACTGTGTATATTTATGCTTTTATTATTTGGAATATTTAAATCTTTAAAGTAAGATCACAAGACTGGTTAATATAATCTCAAATTTTACTATACTTTCTGGTGGTATATCTTTCATACAATTATTATATATTTCAATAATTTTTTATTAAACAGTTCCATGTTAAAATTTTGAGCAAAAGTAGGGTCATTATCTTTATTTTTTTTCAAATAATAAAAATCGTTGAATTATATTTTCAAAAGGAAGTATTAAATCATATTTATTCTCTCCAGTTGTAAAATTGGTTTTGTTTAATTCCATTGTTTATCTTCTATTGATGATATGTCAATTGGAAGAGTAAATTGAAATACAAGGCATAATATAGCTATAGCATGTGTTGGAATCTGTTATCAAAAATATTTCCACGTGCAAAAGAACTTTGCTTAAAACCTATATTGTACACAAAACATTCTCATGTTTAATTGAATGAGATATAATACTAGTGGATTCCAATACTTGATGTAATATTGATAACAGTCTTGGATTTCTACATAAAAATGCAAGTGATTGAGTAAGCCAAAATTGTGTATTAGTGAAACTTGTTGTCAATATTATAGAACTTAATGTTGTTGATATTTTTTTACTTTTTGTGTATCTACTTCTTTTAATTCAGTATTATTTCACTTCTTTCTTGTTTGATTACCCATTTGACATCTTTTATATGGAAATATATAAATTATGCACTCAAATAATTTGTATAAAAAAGGTAGAATCGCGCTTTGATACTCATTTAAAGATTGTATTTCCAAAAAATTTTGTGATCACGTTTTGATTTCAATTTATCCAAATGGAATTAGCCAAATCTGATCCAATGTGATACCAATCGCCAGATTAAAATCAACGTAATTAAAAATAAATCGTAATATAAATAAACTTGGAGGTTTTTGTAATGAAATAGTCTGCAAAATTTGAATCTAATAATTAAAGTGCAGGAGTAATTAAAGTTAATAAATTCTTGATAATCAAATTTTCTTTTTCCAAAGCCAATGTTGTTTCACCTAAATGTTTATCTGATTTTTTACAATCGATAGCTATTTTTTCCTCTCCCCAGTTTTACATAGCAGCTATAGATTTGGACTTTTTACGGATCACGACTGAATAGAATTATATCTAATCATTCGTATCCAAGCAGAAACGTAAATTCCGATACAAATATATTTATTGTTTTTTTTTAAAAAAAAAAATAAACTTCTACTTTGCATACTATAAGCAAACAGAAAATGTCTTATGTGTATCCAGAATGTAATGAATAATATAATGATTGTTATTGTGATTGGTACAAACCGTGCAACTCAAGTTTCAAAAATAATTTTGATAAATGAACAAGCGGATCGGATGATAAATTTATTCAGGATACTACAAAATGCTGATTATCGTAAAGTAATAGAACGGACACTTTATTATAAATTTCAAAATGTTAAACGGTGATTATGGTATTATTTATTATGTATGTAAACAAGTGTTACGTGATCTTTTACGCATTTTTTTATGGATAAATATTTGATTCAAACATCTTAATCGGTCATTGACAAAAACACAATGCTTTTTAATGGAAACAATAAAAAATAAGAATTCTGTCGGAATTAAGAATTAAATTTGAAAATTTGGCACATATATATAAAAAATATTATAATATTTTATTTTTTCATGTTCATGAAACATGTCGAACAAACTACAAAAAAAAATTTCAGTGGGAGAAATGATTTGTCAGGGGATACTTTAATAAGTTTCACGGAGAAAGATTCAAGGTTCAGTTATTACATAGAGATAAGTCCGGATGGTCAACAAATTGTTACTTTTAATCAGTTAAAATTTTCTTGTAAGAAAAAAATCCTTTGGAAAATAATCAAATTTTTTAGTAATAAAATTATTACGTTGATTATTTCTTTTTTGTTATTAATTAATCTTTAATAATTGCTTTATATTATAAAATAATAATAGAGGGGAACAAATTTGCGTTATATTATATGATATTAAGGACTCTCACCAAAAAAATTTAGATAATGTTATTGATACTATACCATTACAGAAACTACATTCCTTTACTGAAACTGAACATCTTTTATTTAATTTCATTGATCACAAAGAATAATATTTTTTTAATTATTAAATGATTAAAAATTAATTTTCATTGGCTAAAATAATGATTTTATTATTATATTATTATTATCACTGTTGTTGTTACTATTAGAATTATTTTTTCTTATAACTTTGATATAATATTCTAATATATTAAGTTAAAATAAGCTTCAACTTCTTATGTTAAAATAAGTTTATACTATGTATTATGTATATACATATGCTTGCCTTCAATAATATACTAATTTAATATCTTCAATATTTTAAAACAAAATGTAAATTATATAAATTAGATGATAATTATTATTGTTGTTGTTTTAAATTCAAAAAATGGATAAACAGAAAAATAGAGATTATTAATTAAAATTCCTATATTATATTTACTATTTAATATATCTTTCTATGATTAATTGTTTAACAATCATATCGAATATTAAATTAAGATTTCAGCGAAAAATATTCTTCTTTATTTGTATTTTGATATTATTATTCTTCTTTAGTTAAAAAATATAAAATCATTAGGACAGTTTTTTTTTGAATTTATAAGAAAAAAATATAAATTTAATCTTAAAGTATAAATGGAACAATATATATATTAATTCCAATTCACTCACCTTATATTTTTATTATTTTTATTAATTAAAGTCTTCGAAAAAAATGCTTAAAAAATTTAATTTGACAATTCTTCAATGTTACCTTTCGGAAAATAAGATTTTTAGCAATTTGATTTTTATAAACACAATGATTTGAATAATTTTTTTACCATTTATTCATTCTGTAAATATTACAATAATGACAGACAGATAAGTGAGATAAGTAATAATTTTGCTATAATAATTAAATATACAATTGTAATTACTTGAAGATGGGATTAAAAAAAAATATTACTTCATAATTGTTGGAGATAATTATGAGTTGACAAATAATAATTATGAATACACAATATAATAATCATTGGAATCAATTATTATTTTAATAGAAAAGAATGTACATATGAGTTTTATAAGCATTTGATTTTCTTGTTCATGTTTTTTTTTAGCTTTTTTATTTTAAAAGATTTCTGCCTTAGTTTAAATAAATTATAAAAAAAATTAAAATATGAAAATATGAAAATACAAAAGTTGTATCATAACATCAAGACTAAAAATAATAATTAAAGATTAATTTTCCTGAATCTCATTTAGATAATGTATGAGTGATTCAAGAAATCCCATTGTTTTTTTTGTATCTAAATAAAATAATGATTAATGTAAATAATATAAAATGGTCTCATTTGTTGACTTCAAATTTCTTTAAATTCTGAAGACAAATATCCACTTGCTTCTTTAGAATTCATTTCATTTCATTTGAATTATATTGATAAAATTCTTGTTTGATGCTTGCTTCAACATATAAATAGGATCATTATTATTTTTAATAAAACACGATAATATGCATGTAAATTATTGTTTATTATCATTTCTCATGAAATATTCTAATACCAATAATTAAGAAGATGGCCAATAATTTTTTACTAGTATCTATGATATGATATGAAATAAAGAACTATACCATAAATATAAAATATTATCATTAATAAACTAGACACAGTGAAAATCTATAAAATTTTATTGAATATATAAACTAAATTAAAAAAAAATGATAATAAGAAATATACAAAAATTAATAGAAACATAAAATTTTTTGAAACAATAATATTCATTAATTTAATAATAATAAAATAGATTTTAAAATATAAAAACTGATTAGACATATTTTATTCTTGATAAGTAAACTACTTACATGACATCCTGTTTCTTTTACGTCCACCTGAGCCATCTTCATTTCATCATCATCATTCATCTCCTTTCTTATATATTCTTAATTTTATCATCGCATCCACATCTGTTAATGATATTTAATGATATTTTTTAGTTATTATTAATTCATTTATTTAATTGTCATTAGAATTTTTAAATAAGAAATTAAAATATAAAATTGTATAATTATATTAGTAGACACGTTTATACTCTTTACGAATTGCAAGATTCATTAGAAGATATATAACTGGAAAATCTGCAGGTATTATTTTAGTGCAATATACTGTAAATTGGATTATTTTAATAGATAATTAATCACAAATTTTTATACTAATTTATATATTTATCTGTTATACAAGTATGAATTCTGAGGAATTTCCAAAATGCATTGATTTGAAAAAACAAATCTAATTTGATGAAGAATCAACAGAAGCTAAATGATAATAATGCATTTAAAGAAAAGAATTTATCAGTTTCCATTCAAATATATTTAAAGAATTTATTTTTTTTTGAGTTTAAATTTATTTTTATTTTTTTTGTTTATCATTTTATATATTTAGATGAAAATTTAAAAGAAAATCAAATAAATATTTACAGTATCTCAGAATTATTTCATTTTTTTTCATTCAATTTGAGTTTTAAGGATTCATTTTTGTGAATTAAAAATTTAATATAACAATTTCCAATTGACAATTATGACATGACTAAAGAGATTTATGTTTATTTTTCAAATATTTGAAGGATTCATTTGAATGTTATAAATATTATATGTGCTAAAAAACATTTTGAAAAAATTTTCCTTTACTAAAGCATGATAACAGACAACTAGTAACAGGAAAACTAGTATATAAAAGAACACAAAGCAGTTATAAGAATGCATTAAAGTTGAAAGGTTTATACTGTTAGACAAGTATAAAAGGTAAAGGACTTGTTAATGTGAGTTTTTATTCAAAAGAAGCAAGGCAGGTGTGAGGTTTTATAAATATAACTTATCACTAAAAGTTATAATACTAAACAATATAACTAACTAAAACAATAAAATATACTAACAAAATACTAACTAGCAAACTAATAACTAACAAACTGTCCTTATTCATGAAGAAGGATAAATTCATTAAGGGGATATTTACTAAGATCACTAAGCAAAGTAAATGTTATTACAAGGAAAAGGCTCAGAACACAAAGCAGAGCTCAATAAATTTCTATTCTGATTATTAAACAGAATAATAATCACAAAGAATATATGCTGAGATCATAAAGCAGGGCAATTACAAAGAGGTTTTTCACTAATAAGTCACAAAGGGTTTTAAATTATTGTTTGTCACAAAGACTTTATTAATAATTTATTACAATTATTGAGTTGTATTGAACTAAAGTTATGAACTATAATCAATTGAACTGCCGAAAGGTTGAGAAAAACCCAACCTTTATGTACATTATTTTCTTTGTGACAATTATTGTTTGTATTCTTAATTGTACCTTTGCTAAAATCTTTGCTCGTACTACAGATTTACAAGATGGAATTTTATAGAAAATTCTTTTAAGTAATAAATTATAATTTGTACAAACATGAACTGTAATGAGGGTAATAACAAATAAAAATAACATCTTTTAATTTTGATGAAAGAAAAGATAATAATTATTTTTTTTCATTTTTATTATAAGCAAAGATTATTTTTACATCATATAAAATGTAACAAAATATGTCTCTGCTAACTATTTACTATTTGTTATGGTTTATTACAATCCTTATTTTGATTTGTAATTTTTAATTTGTTTCATATTAACATTATTCTTATTATTACATAATTAACTATCTCATTTTATATATTCTTTGAATTATTTATAATAGATAATTCTGAGTCTTCTGACTCCTTTACAATAAAATGTCCAAAAAAAATTGATAATAAATAAAAGAGTATAAAATTATTTAAAATTTAAAGGAACACGGAAATTAGATCCAGTAATCACTTAAAAATCAGGAATTATAAATTTTAATTGTTATAATAAAATAATCTTAATCATAACTGCTAAAATTAATATATAAATTTAAATTGTAAATTAATTCGAAGGAAAACATCACCAATTTAACAATTTATTTCACTTCAAACTTTATATTGAAAGGTGCATAAATCAGGTTTGCTTCTTCATTTACTCAATTAAGTTTTGCAGTTGATATCAAGAATTTATTATAAAAAATTCTTGAAACAGCCAATATAAATTTAAATATTTGTCAAGATTTATTTCCCAGCAATATTTAATAATAATTTTAATAAGGAAAAAGATTTGATATCAAATGGCTAAGTATGTATCAGAATCACTTGAAATTATTAAATTTAAAACGAACAATATATAATTTTAATAAGTAAATATTGAAGTTAACACTATTCATTAACTTAAGAAATATAAACAAAATTAACTCAATTAAAAGAACAAATTATTTTATTTAACAAAATCACAAAAATCCGAGCTAAAAACTAAAAATATTGAAAAAAAAATAAGCTAAAAAGTGCCGAGATGTAGATGCAACAATGCTTTTACTTGGTTCCTTACTATATTAGTGAAAATTTACCATTAAACTTTATCACTAGCATTTATAGAAAAAAATAGCCGTTTCTTTGGCCTATAAGCGAAAAATCCATTAAATTGAATCTTGAAATCTAATGTTCAACCATTTTATTTTTTAAATCAAATGTCATATTATATTTTATATTAAGCTTCAAGGATATGAACTAAAAATTATGAATACGTAATGAAATTCTTGTAAAATTCAAATTTAAATTCTTTATTACATTATTTCATTAATAGTATCAGAAATCATAATCATAACTCTTGCTGCAAAAAATAATAATAAATAAAGTAATAAATAAAATAATAAATAAAACAATAAAATAATAAATAAAATAAAATAATTAATAAGTAGATTCTTGGAAAAATGTAGACCAAGATGGCTATTGAAAATTGTGATTGTTGCGAATATGAAAAAAAAAATTTTATTTTAAATAGATAGAATCAAAAAAGAATTAGAACGAGTAGGAAGAAGCAATAAAGAAGTTGGAGAATTTCGAAGGAGGAAAAGAGAAGAGGATAGATGAGTTTGGAAATATATAAAATAAAAATATTTTCATTAACTTTCATTAACCCATTTTGTAATCCATTCCTCGGCTTTTTCTAAAACCCATTTAACTTTTTCTTCTGAATTATTTCCTTTACATCCATCTCCATTTTCTATTACTAATTTCTTTAAAATTTTCATTGCTTTCTCAAAGCAAATCTCACTTTCTTCTTTAAATTTGGGAAACAGCACAATCTCTAAATACTTTATGGCAATTGATGTCGTCCAAATTTCTTCTTTGATAAGCTTATTTTCTTCCTCTGCTTTAGGAATACTTTTTTTCAAATTATTATTAATTTTATCTCCACTATCATCAAAATACTTATAAAACTCTTTACTGGCTAAAAACTTCCCATCATATGATTGTAATCTCAAGAAATTATACAAGATTTCTATATTCTCAACATGTTTCACATTAAATGATGACTCTTCATTTTCGTCATCATTTCCATCGCTTTTGAAGGATTCTTCTTCAAATGATATATGAGAAGCTAGATTCATTGAAACTGAACATGATACAACAGGATCTAGATACAATGAAGCTAAAAATGATACGTAAGAAGCTAGAGATATTGTGCGTATATATATGTAAAAATCAAATATTTGAACAAAAAAAAAGAACAATATTCATAAATTACCTTCAGAAACTTTACATCCTATAGCAGACATTGCATACAAATCAGAAGGTTGTCGTGGTATTGGAGAAAAACAACGGGAAGCGTAAGGTGCAGGTTGCAGTTCTGATTTTGGTGTAATTTTAGCCTCTGATATTTGTAAATTCTTGCGTTCATCAATTGCTAAAAAACTAAAACAATGAAATAAATAATTTATCCAAATAAAAAACTATATTAAAAAACGATGTATAAAAATATTTTACTAACCTAGTATATCTTGATGCCAAACTGAATCTCTTGCCCAAGTCTACAATCTGCTCCCGAACAATTCTTTGATCCAAATTGTTATCATCGTTGCTTTGCATAATTTGATGTAAATAGGAACTTCCCTCTTCAAATTCTTGTATCATTTTTCTTGCACCTAATGTGTGTATCTTTGATCCTTGCAAAGTTACCGGATCGATTGGTACCTCTAAATGAATTGGCCCGTCATCACATGTGGCCTCAAGAATTATATGTTTAGGTGGAGAAACCTCTTTGGATAGAAAACAATAAATTATAAATCTGACACCCGAGTAAAGAATGGGTATTTTGTATGGGGTAGAACAATATTTCAATGATGATGTAATGGCGGCGTCACTGGATAATTTCTTGAAAAAGTTGATGAAAGAAGAAGCTGATGGTTTGTCGTCATTATTTGTACTACTTTTCTCATCTATCCATGTAATCTTATAATCTTTAATAGGTGGTTTAACAGCATTTTTCAACATTCCAATAATTTTTTTATCCATTCTTTCTTGAGTAGTCACAAATTGGGCGTATCCTTTACCTGCTCGCGAAATAGATTCTACCAGATTATGTGAAACTGAATCACCAATTCCCAATGAAAACAATCGTAATTGATCATTTCTTTTGGATAAGGAATCAGAGATTAAATTAACAATTTGATCAACATTATATACTTGTCCATCTGTTAGTACAAATATTGCGGTGGGAAAATCAATATATTCCTTTCTTTTATCTTGTGAAGTCTGTAACACCCATTGCAATACACTTAAAATTTCAGTTCCACCGTAACTTGCATCCATAGATTTTGCATGATCCAATGCTATTTTAAAAGTTTCTTCTGCATAAGGCTTGCTTTCCGGAAATAAGGATGTAAAATTTGAACCAAATGATACTAAATTAAATATACAATCTTCGGGTAATGAGCGAAGGATTAGTTCTAAAGCTTCCTTGGC